TGTGAAACGTAAGATTTCATGACTTGTCGCTTACTGAAAACCTGGTATCTAGAGCGCAAAATGATGAAGAAATGGTAACAACGAAAGAGAAAACGTAAAATACAATCTCTGGAGAAAGATTTAAGTATTTGAAAAGTCTTCTGCGACCAAACAACACGAACTGAATAGAATTCACTTTTTTTTCAGATTTATTTATTCATTCGCATGAAAATATGTGTAACAAGTTCAATACAATGATAACAGTATGACGAATATATTGCCTCAAATAATGTTCGGGAAAGGAAGAAGAATCAAAATCGAAAAAGAATAAAAAATTTGTGTTATGAAATGGTGAAGATGTCATATCAAGCATACATTATCATAAACTGACATTTATATTATATCAAGCAGATCATTCATATCACTGTTTTAATGCCTAGATCGGTAACATAGCAAACATATCATAACATAAAACGACATTTGTTGGAATCATAACATATGAGGCAAGTTCTGTACAATTTGGAAGAGCAGATGAAAAGCGAAAAGAAACGAAAAATATAGGAAACAGAAAACAAAATAAGACAAAAATTCATATACCTTTCTCAGATTGCTCGAGCTAACTGTTTATCAGGATTTTATCAGGGATCTCATCGGGTGGAATGGATTGGAGTCTGCACTTAAATATTTGAAACGATTTGAAGGAGGCAATGTTTTGGGTGAGTAGATTCCAGGCTCTATCGATACCGTTTGCAAAAACAATCTGGCAGAGTTTGATTTGCAACATTTGACAGCTAGCTTAAAGGGATTACTGTAGCAGGTTCATTCACAGCTTGAGAAATATTCGAAGAACTCGTTTTTGATGTTCTGATCCGATTTTATCAACTTTTCCGAAAAATTCGAGGTATTCCTCGAAAACTTCCGGAGAAGCCTCTCCGAGAATCCCGTAGAACTCGGGGCAAAATTTTGCAGTCAGGGACCCCAAAGATACGGTCAGCTCAAAAAAAAGTCGGCGATTGGGACGGGAAATCAAGGACGGGGCCGCCGAAATTCCGTTTCCCACACTACACTGCTTGATATCATCAGTATGAGTCACGTTCCGCCATGCAACAATCGATGTTCCTCATTGCTCTACTGCTCCCTATCGATAACTTTAGCACAAAAATTATGAGGCCGAACCGAGTTGGTTAATCGATAATCAAAAAATTTCTTCAACGTGTTTCTTTTTCTTTCCCGAAGTACCTCGTTAACAGCTGCTGTTCCGTTGTTAAGCGGATGTATTTGTGTGATCAAAAATGAAATTACAGGCCGATGAATTTCACACATCTCATAATTTTCTTCTGAGATTCCTAGTGATCATTCAATCTGCAGACAATAATAATGAAGTTTTCAAGGAAGATATTCTTGTAACTGAACGCATTATTCAATGGTCTGATAGCAACTGGATCAACAACGATATTTTGTTGATCCACTTTTCGAATTGTTTTCATTCAGTGAAAGTTTTCCAGCTGAATGCCACTAAACAATCGCCCGTTTGGGCTTCTTCTCATTTGGAATTTGCGTTACATGCAGCATATCGTTGCACTTGCACATCGGTTTTACGTGTAAAGCACACACACTTCAAAACATCTGGACAAGTGAGATACTGAACTACCATCAAGCACAACGTAAGCTCATCCTGGATTTCAATTTGTTATGCTCTTATTTTAATCATATTTCACTCACGATCAGAGAATCTCTCATTTGACGATTCATTTACTTCCACACGTTGGAATCTGTCATTCTCAGATAACCTAGACGATCTGACTCAAACACGAACGCATGAATATTCGATAAAACTCGACAATATAAGTCCTAATCTATCAGCTAATTACATTCGATTGATGAACTGAAGTCATGTTCACAAATGAAAGTTTAATCACTCAAATGAAATGAAACGTATTTGAGTGGACACAATAAAAACTTTATTAGAATCCAACAACAAAGTAACAACCAACCAATTGAATAAATATAAGCAATCAACTCAAACGAGACAGTGAAACCAATTAATCAACCTTAAAAATCATTCAAAGAACTTTCTTCAATCGATATTTATTTGAATATTTTTCCTTGATTGAATTTCTTGCCATCGAATTCACCTTCCCACATCAAATATTCATTAACCAACTTCCTTGTGGCTTCATCTGAAGGGTCCAACTTCTTCCAATCATAACTCTCATAATCAATCTGCAATGGAATGTCTCAACAATCAACATCATAATGAAAACAAAGCATAATAATAATAAGAGCACTAACAAAAACAGTGATAATGATAGGAATAACCAAAATGACAATTATATTATAACATACCTGCCAATCAGGTGAGAGTGGGAACGCAAGTTGTTGACCGGGCCAAACCCATATGCCGGAAATTGACGAGTTGTTGTCTGTTCCGAATAGACATACAGATCCGAAGGCATGTTTCTTCAATTTCTCCAATCTTTGGAACATTCCTTCAAACGACCAATTTTTAATCAGTCATTAAATTTGATGTTATTCCGTTAAAACTGCACAATCAAAATAAATCAACTCGATTGGTGTATAACAACATTCAGAAACACCAACTAAAAATAAATACACACTATACCTCCAATCAGATTGCAACTCATAAAGGCGAGCGTCAACTCCTTAGGGAACTTATATTCGGCATACCAAATCGAATAATGCTCAGGATCGAAGTTCTCCCAGAAATACGGGATGGCTTTCGTCGCTGTGTCTTCATTCGAATAGACTCGCTTGAATGCATCCATTACAAACTTCCTAAAATACATTATTATTACTATCATTATTGTTATTAGCATCATCATGCGATGAAGATATCCACACTGAATCACAACACTGAGATTTGATGCAGCTGATGAATCGGTACCAACAACCGAATCAAATCAGTAAATTCCATGATTCGACGTACCCTTTTGGCATACCCGCAAATGGATCAGCTCCTTTCGGCTCAGTTGCTATCGCCTCCTCGGTTGCATCCATTTCTTCGGCAGCTGGCTTCTTGGCTTGTTGCTGAGGTTTTGGCTGCTCTTTCTTCTCTCCTTTCCCCTTCTTTCCGGCTGAAATTCAAACATTCGCCTACTCATTGACAGTCATCACTTTGCTTATTCTTTCTCCAGTCAGCAGCTTCGCTCTTTACTCTATTGAATCTAATCAGGCATCTAATGGAGATACACTGTCATTTTAAAGATGCGCACAACTCAAGCACCACACTAAAACTGAATGTTTTGTCTTCAAGGATTGCAATACCACTTCAAGAAACTTGATTCATTCAAGATAACGTCAATCGACTCAAAAATTTCTTCTCATATCTTCCATCTTTTACCTCAGCAACTTTTCTCCTTTTCCAGTATCAAGCGAGCAGTCAAAATGCCAGACTAAAACTACAGCAGCCGTCTCAAGATCTGTTAAATCACAAATAAATTTGCACTGTACAAAAAACAAGAAGATGAAACAATCAGTGACAAGAAATTAAAATAATATAACAGTTGATTACGGTTGTACGTACCATCTTTGTGCACTGAGTGTGGACGCTCCTTCTGTAGTTTTGCTGAGAGTTCCTTGAATTTTGCATCTGAAATGCTATTCGCATCTAGAAGGAAAGGATAAACGAGCGAATGAACATCCGCAATTACATCGGGCAAATTTTCTCATAATAAAATCATAACATAGATCTCGTCTTTCATCCAACAACACTCTCATTCATTCAACAAATGTACTCCATGGGTTTGGAGCCGCTGACTCTACCACCGCAAAACCACAAAGCAGATTTTGCGAGCATAATCTTGACCAAATTTCGAAATCAATTCAAACTCAAGCAGTACTTCAAGTACTGCAAGACACTGAAAGAGACCGTCAGCTACGTGACAAGTTCTCAAGATTGTGAGTGGAATAACAATTGAAGCCATGAAACCGGCAATTACTCACTGTCAAATTTAGCGGTTTGTGTGGCGAATTCCACCTCTCCGAGAACATCCTTCACGAATGGTTGATTTAAGATCGTTTTCATCCAACGATTCACGTTCGTCAATGGGGCACGCATTCCACTATCCAACACGTACTGAACGTGCAAATATATCATGTAAATGCCCTTTTGATCACACGCACAAACACAATGAATGCATTAATAAAAATCAATACACCGCGTTATAACAACCAATAAAAATGAGACAAATAAAAGAAGTAAACAGATGGCAAGATTGACGAACCTGATAGGCTGGTAGCAAGTCAAGCGCTAACGATATGTCAGCAATTGAAATACGTTCACCAATCAGGTATGTTCGTGTGAGAAGTACTGAATCGAGACCTTTCAATTGTGCCAACAGTTCATTCTTGGCACCTTCTAACACCTTAAAATTGTGCAAAGACTCTCAACGTGGATAATATCAAGCCGTCAGATAACAGATGACCATTCCAAAAATCACAACGAAATAATCACTAACTTTATGATCCACATGTGCGGCTGATACACTTGGTAAGACAAAACCTAGCACACTTGGTAGAAGATGACCTTCGGCATATTGCAACCACTGAATTACTTCGGAGCACTGAAAAAAAATACACCATTTTCGAAGTGTACATTACACAAACTCTTCTAATAAATGTGGAGAATGGTGAGATAAACGAGAAAGCTTGCAGAAGTGAGACTTAGATGGGCAAAAAATTGGTTATGGATGAAAAGATGACTTAGGAAAGTTCAGTAAAATTACGTTTTGTGCTTTGAGTTGATTGCTCAAATGGAGCGCAATTGATTCAGCTCCAAACAGAAGCACGTTACCATCCTCATAGGCTGGTGTCTGAAAGTGCAAATGAACATGATTATGGAGCATCAGTAAAAATCAGCCGAACACATGAATACACGGTATAACTGAACACATCCCTGGTGTACAATCTCCAATTCTTTCGGATGAGGAAACAGGATTGACAGTTGGAAAATTACTACAAGACTTTAACAACTGTTTCCGAGAACTTGAAGGCTTTGAGAAGTAATTGAAAACGAAAGAAAATNGATGGCATTATATCAACTAGTTTTAGGTTATTCCGATTCTCAATACTTTAAATTTGAGTGAACGCAGACTTTTAAAACTAGAAGAAAAAGATGCATAAAAATCACGTTTATTCGACTGGGGAGAGTGGAAACAGTGGAACTGTGAGCTCTATGAATCTAGAAGTTACCTTAATAAATCATGCCAGCGCCCAGAAGGTAATCAACAAACTGATAGTCAAAAATCATTTTCTTTTCAGATGGAGAGAAATTTGTATCAGTTTTGACTATTGAGAAATTGCGTCATGAGGCGAAATAACATTCAAAGCTAGGTAATTTCGATAAACCCTATAAAATGATGTTTAAAACGACAGAAGAACTTACTCCGGGCATATTTGATATCCTAAATGTGGTTGTCTACTTTGACGAGTGAAGCTAAAAAACACCTCACTGGATGGGTTTGCGCACAAAAATGGCTTAATACCAACCAACTGCACAGAACCAAAATTTTAGTGAGGAGTATTACACAATATTAATGCTGATGACTATGCGAATCTTACTGTAATTGCACTTTCGTATAGAGAACGTTTAAACTTCGATACGTTTCGTGTGAACTTTATTCCTTTAGCAATGTCGTTTTTCATTGATTCTGAGTTGTTGGTTATTTGTGACATTAATTCGCGAAGAATTATGCTAATTTCATGCAACGTGCATGATTCACGAGTCGAGTTTCCACTGAAATTGCGTGCGATTCACATTGAACTGTTCCTCATTTGAGCACTATTTCCAGACGAGAAACGTCATCGTGCAACTGCAGCATATTGTTACAACAACTCTGAACGGTGCTATGCCCATATGTTATGACGATGAGACTTGTTCAATTCTGCTAACTGAATTTATGGATTTTTTGCAATTGTGGAAATTTTTCACATTTCCAATAAGATCTTTTTTTTCGAGCTCCAGATTTGGGTGCGCCTCAAATGGATAGTTGCAAATAGAATATGAAAAAAGCAAAAAAAAAAAGATTGTGAAAGATGCACGATTCGAAATTTAGAAGTATGAGTTGAAAAATTACTTTGAATTGGAGGTATTTTTATGCGACTCTTTGTAATTGCATTAAATTAATCGGCGATTCATCAGATTTTGTTACAATGAACTGAATCGATGCTTTGCAAATCGAGCAGAGTGGCGTTTTGAACACTGAGTGTGTTTGGGAATTTAATCGATACAGATTATTATCAGACGTTTGTGTCCATCTGGAAAATTTCATCCGGAATGCTTATTTCGGTTTTTCGTCGTCGATATCACCTGAGCCTGTTGTCTCATCTGTCTATCTGTCATCAATTTATCATCTATCCCCATCACTAGCGTCGTTCAACTGGTTAATTGGATATCGTTTGGAATTTGCTAAATTAAATGTTTGTACTGCAGGTTAAATTTCCCAGTTCTATCGTCCTACAGTGAGTGGACCTTGGATTATTTAGTGGAACGGATGGAAAAGCAATACATCTCGTGAAAGGTTATTTTTCTCGTGTTTCACGCAGGATTCTAAGCCGTTTATTGTGTATTTTACACTCATTGATAGGTAATTCTTTTTTATTTATTTTTTCTCCTTGAAATTATTTTCCGCTTTTTTATTGAATTGTAAAATTATATCTGATATGTAGGAACATCTTTGTTGAGGTATGATGCGCATCAAAGAAATTGCATCTCTGTATAGATGCTAGCTTATATAGTTGTTGTCAGGTTGTGAAAGAATTTCGTTGAAATTTTCTCTACTTTCAGTCAGTCTTACTTCGAGTCTAGCAAACGTATATATTTTCTGTGTGTGCTTTTTCGAGCGAAACATTCAAATTTTTGCTCGCTGGTTTTGATGGACAGGGAGAGTATTTCATCATCACATCATAAACGTTCTTCCAATGGTACCAGACGTCGTCACAGCTCGGTACGTTTGTCGTTATTTCTACTCCTTTCTTATCTTGAATTATTTTAAATTCGTCTTCGGTTATTACTTGTAAGAGTCACTTTCACCAGTTTCATTCAGTCGAAATTACAGTAACAACAGTTACTATTACAATAGTAACTCAATAGGGGACTGGTGTTTGGCCACCATCCTTTGTGTTATTATTACGATATGATTGTGTTCGTTTCTCAACACCATGTTTACACCCTCCCATAACTGTATTACTCAATTTATTGTTTTAAATTGCATGATATGATTTCTGCCATTCTAATGATATCGTAAATGTTTAAATTGAAGCGTGGTTCAACGTCGCGTGAAGATGATCGATCACAGCGTCACCGTCACAAATCGCATAAACGACGGAGGCATAAGTCTCGATCTGAATCGCGCAGTCGTTCTGTGACAAGATCTCCGAACGAACGAAAGCCGCCTGTTGTGTACATGAATCCCGCATTTCAGTTAGTATTTTGTTCATTCTTATTATTAGTATTGCAACTGTTGTCATCATTATTGTTATTCCTCTTAATACTTTCTTCATTATACACATCAGTATTTTAGCTTTCTTAAGCATCAACCGAGTTCCTTACAAAGCCATGGTGTAGCTCTCGCATCGAAGAGTTGTCATTATTTCGGTTTCATTGTTGCTGCCTCCACAATCTCTTTCAATCTCAGTCGAACCATTTATTTGCATCGAATACGAATTTGCAGACCTGTCTATGGTGTTCAACCGATGCCATCACAAGCCGAAATCGAATTACGATCCACCTTGGTGACGCAGTTGTCATCATGTGAACAACGAATCAGTTCATTGGAATCCGAGCTGAGAGCTGCACAGCTGGCGAGAGGACGTGCCGAACAGACCGTATTCGATGTGAATGCAGAAAAATTACGTTTGGAATCACACAACGCTGAAATTGTTCAGGTTCAGTGTTGAATTCAGTTATTTGACTTTGCTTCATTCAACATCACATTGCATAATTCGTCACTGTGTAATCGTGTTCTGATTGCTGCTCATCCGTGGTTGATGCGATTAGAAAACGATTCAATTTTCGCAATATTTAAGCAATTTGTTGTTCAATTCCAAAAGGCAAATCATCATGAGGTTTAACAGATTTTTTTTCCTGTTGATCATTGCCAACTTCGACGTATTGATTGCACTGCGTGCTTCATGGTTTTTATAAAATTGCCGTTCATGAATTGATGACCCAATGGTTTTGAAGTTCCCTCAGATCCATCTTTCTCTTTGTTCTTTTGCTTGTTATTTTCATTCAATCGTGACTCTGTTAAATGTTTAGCATGAACGCTGATGTGATTTATTTATTTATTCATTTATTTATTTATATATTTCTTTTGGTTTTAATCTTTCGTTTTTTTAATTATAAAAAAGTTTTAGTCATAATTCCCAATGATAAAAATATCGAAAGTAAGCTCGATGTTGGGAGCAAAAAACTTGATGGATTTTTCTAATTTAGTACTAAGCGATATTCACTAGTTTGTAGAAGTGTTAAATATTTGCTGAAAATTTCGATGAGCACTTTTTTCCCTAAATCTTCGTTGCATCTCCTCTTCGTGCCGCGTGGATCGTTTCCTTTGGGTCATGTTTGGAAAACTACAGAACATTCTGCGATTCTGCTTGACTAAGAATTGCGAAACGGCCATAGGTGAATTTTATGCATTTAAATTGAGGGTATTTTCAAAAGCTGATTAATGATGATGCAGTGCAATTGTTGGTGATTTATTATTAGTGCAATCATCAATATCTTTCACAGTATACCAGGAATGATTTCTGGTTTGCTATTGATATATCGAACGGTCTGTTGATTCCTCTTTACCAGATTTTGTTGGTGATAAAGTTTTGTTATTTATTCATTTCAGGTATGTTTATAGTCATTTTCTCTTCGAAGTGAAGAAGCACTTAGTCGTATTGTTTCATTTGATTGATCGCAAAAGCCGTTAGCCGTTTGTGAAGTGATCAGATCGTTCGGGTTGGATACAAATTCAGACACAAAAACATAATTATCCCCAATTTTCAGAATTTTTAGCCAGTAAAAATTTTCAAAAATCCAACTAAAAACAATCAAAAATTTTTTAGGAATCGTTTTCCGCACTTCTCAATTTTTTTTCGACTTCCCTTTTTTCTCAGTTTGAGTTTTTTAGAACCTTTAGGATGTTTCATCTTAAACACCCGTAACAATAACGTCTGTATACTTTGTTGTATAATTTCTAGTGTAGGTTAGCTAAAACACTTCGTTAATGGCTAATGGCTTTCATTATGTACTGTATATTTTTCTCATCTGATTTGATGGACTCTTTTTTGTTCAGTATTTTTGCGGTTTTTTTTATAGTGAATAATAATTTTGTTTGAGATGGAATTACAACAGAAAGGAAAAGAGAAGAATGAGGTTTCGAGAATGTATCTTATCAGTTTCATGGAAGTGATATTCGAATTCCTATTTTAGTGTTATAACTTTGAAAGGATCACAGTGGGTATTTGGATGTTTAATGTGAGAAGATAATTGATGTCTGCTTGAGTTCCTAGATACTGTAGTATTTCGCATGAGGTGATAAGTTTTTGGTTGAGCTGTTCAGTGAGTTATGTGTGTTGGTTGAATTGATGATCGTTGAATGGGGATATGTCTGATGAACGAATGCGGGATGTCTGTTGGTTAGTAATCGAATCTTTCTGAGATTCATCGAACCTTACGGATATTTCGGAGAAAAGTTTCTGATCCATCGCTCTGATGAATGTGTTGATTTGTTTTGTTTTTCTTCATTTCGTTAACAATTTTTCAATTGCTCGTTTTTTGTTTGTCACAAACATGTATCTGCAATCGTTTCTGTGATCTTTTATGATATATTTATATTGTCATTCTATGTGCGCAGTCGGAGTTATGCAGTCGCAACGGCATTTTCTATTCGGATTGAATGCTGGTGTTGGTGAGCGTTTACATTTGCATTATGAAAGAAACGAATTTAATTTGGCTTTTCTGGATTACTTGTTGAATTCCCAAATTCTTCTCACCGATTCGACGACTTCATCTCACTGTTACTGAATGAAGAAGATGTCGTTGGAGCGTCGTCTATTTGCAGCGCCTATTTCGCTTGTTCGGTGTGCGGAAATTATCTGAAATGATTGCGATAANCCTGCTATCAATCATCACAGAAGAAGTGAACGAACAAATTCATTGTTGAGTTTTAATGCGATCACTTTGTCGCTTTCGTTGGAGAGTGAAGAGTGGTTTTGGTCGTGAAAAAGGTTTTTTTTAAATGAAATGAGAGCATCAGTGGAAAGAGGAAAAGAAATGATGTGAATGGATTTTGTAGATAGGCACTGAATCGTTTAATGAGCACATGAATTGAGTTAAATTCGCATTTTTATGGGTGCAAGCGGGAGAATAACGGCAATTTTTTGCCAAATATAAAGAAAGAAATTGATATTGAGGAAAATTGATTCTGCATTCATCTCAAAAAATTATTGGTTCGGTGGAAAGTAGCAAGATCCTAGAAACTTGAAGAATTCGAAAGAGTTTAGAATTATTTCGGGAGTTGAGCTGTGGTTCGTAAGAGTTTAGTTGTGTTAAGTTTCGAAGGTGTTGTGTTTGATTGAAGCGTTTCCTTTCGATGTTCATATGTGACAATTTTGTAATGCTTTGAATATTTTTACTGATTAAATATCGGATGGATTTCAGTTGAAACGATGAATCCATTTGTTGCTATCATCGAGTTTGCTCAGTTTTCCACCGGTGATTTCATGAGAAATAAGTGATGGTATGAGAGCTGAGGACTGTTTGACTTACTGTTTATCAGAGCGTTCACTGATTCACATTATAGCACAGCAAAGACGGAGGAATGATCACTCAAAACTTTAGCTCAGTTTGCTGTCAACACTGAAACTCTGGTTCCTCCTTTTCTAACTTGAGTCTGTCGCATGCGAAAGAGGGTGAATGACTCTTCAACGACGTGACTTTAAAAGTAGTAAAGTGTAGCAATCTGTCACAGATTTTTTGAACAGTTCGTTATGAATGTATTTGTCGAGTTAGTGACTAAAAAAAACTGAGAATACATACAAAACAGTTTGCGCTTTTTGACTTCGGTATTCATTGTTCATAGAGAATTGGAAATCGATATGATATTGGAACTGAATTTGGTGTAAGGTTGATCAGTCGTATGATCTCGGTGTTTCTGTAACAGTGCTATCAGCGATCGTGAAATAAACTCATTTGTTGTCATCGCTTCTGAATCACTGATTATTCCATTCTTATTTCATTATTTCAAGCTCTGATGCATTCACTAATCGAGCAGTCCATTTGGAAGTGCTGGCTGAATGTGATCATTCAGCCAAAATTCTCCCTCTGTCAATCACCAGAAACCAGTAACACGTTTTTTAACAGCAGCGTTAAGGAGTCATGCAAGCGAACTTGTCTGATCCAAACAGTTTGATGCAAAATGAGTGTAATCAATTAGAACACATACAGAGATGAGTTTCCGTTGGAGTTTATCCTGCTATCAGAACGTTATGATTTCCTTCATTTTGTTCCGTTCGAACGTCACTCCAGAAGTGCATCTGGCATTGCGTTGACACCATGAAAATAATAAGAATTTTGGAACCATGCAAGTCTTGCGCAGTGTAACATTACAATGAATAATCTGATTGTAATAAGCAGTAGTGAAATGAAAAACCAGGATATAATCAGTCACTTTGCTGATCAACTTTAAATGAGTGTTTATCCTAATCATCTGTTAACAGCCATTTGTGATTTTGCTCACTGCTCTGAAAATGAGCAAAGCGTACTGATAGTTGTTTCCCAATTGATGTAAAGTCGGTCGTGAAAGAATCGCTTGTTGTTGCCATTGGAGACAGTACGAGTGGCTGGCCATTTGGCATGTGCTGAATTGAAATGAACGCTTCGATCGGATTGTCGAGTGATTCGACGGCACACCGAATGAAGGAGGTATTTGCATGAATATCCGCTAAATCATTATGCGCTACGCCATGTTTTTAATCGACCGATCAATACCGATACGATTTGAAGACGGATGATTTTCTGCTCTGATATCACGCGGTCGAAGGTGATACGAGTAACCACTGCGATATTGGTAATAACGTTGGATCGTAATGGGTTATTGTGATGGCTAAGAATAAGATTGGTTTTGAGGAATTTCAGTAAGTTGACATAATTATCATGCAATCAGCTGATCGTTGTTGTTGGGTACGAAACTGGCTGCTGAGATGCATTGATCGTATGCCGTTAGGCAGTTTTAAATGGCTGAAACAGTTTAATAGTTGAGAGAGTTTAGGCAGTTTAAATGGTGAGTATTATGGTTGTGTTTTAGGTAATGAAGACGTTGGAACGTGCTGTAGAGGAATTGCAGAAGAATTGTAACGCGTTGAAAATTGAGAACGATCGACGTAGACGTGATTTAGAGAATGCCGAGAAGACGATTTCATCATGCAAAGAGCAGAATAACTTTTTGAATGAACGAAACTCGAAATTGGTGAAGAAATGTGAAGGTTTATGTGAAGAGAATAAAACTATTCATAACAGGTTCGATTTGCGTCGTTTTCTTTTGTTTCTAGTTTCGCTGTTGTTTGTTTGTTGTAGATTTATGGAAATAATTCACAGTGAATGCATCTTGATGATTGCTTCAAATTATGAGCGGATAAAGTCTTGTTGTATGTGTGATATTCGTTCGTATGAATTCATTGGATGTTTCAAGTAGCAAACAATTTTTGAAGTGTTCTTCAGGCGCGATGAATCGGCGAGGGAGTTGGCTGACCTACGACCGCGGATGGATAGTATGCAAGCTGAGCTACGTCAACGAATTGAAGAAGGAAGGTTGGTGAATGTTTTCACTTCTTGAACACTTTATGTGCGATATTATACGATCTTAACTTTATGGTTTTGAGCGTTTATCAGCATCACTTTCGATGTTAACGTTTATGTAATCAAGAATTGGTTTTTGAGTTTTCAGTTTAATGCAAATCATTCACATCAATCGAATGCACATGATTTCATGAAGTCAATGAAGTTCTTTTTGAACAATGTTATCAAAAGTTTTTTGTACAGTTCATGTTATTTTTGAGGAATTTCTCTGTTTGTTGAGAGTTCTCCATTGTTTTTCGTTTTTCAGGAAAATGATAGCTCAACTACGCAGCTTCGAAGAGAAAGAGCGTATCTGGAAAAAGGTTCGTAATTTAATCAGAATTGTTGCCTTTTTATTTATTTAAATGTAAAATCGAGGTTTTTTCTGCAGGAAGGCATTTTGTTTTTGAAATCGCCCACTCATGCTTTATATCGTTAGCAGACTGGTGATGAGTTATTGTAAATATTTCAATGAATTCCCAGTACGCATGAATAACTTTCACTTTTTCTTAGTTTTATTTATTTATTTGTTACCTTTTGTTTATGCATAATTGCGTCAGTTGAAAATAAAAATATTCATATGTTCTCAATGTATGAATTGAATGATTAATTTGATGGAGTGCCATCAGCTTATGTTTTTCACTGTTGTAACGATTGAACGAACGAACTAAACAGTCACCCGAATTCAGTTCATGAAACCTCATTTAAGGAGAAAGGAGACCTAGAGAAGCGAATCGAAATCAAAGATGCCGTCGCAGCGGCCGAACGTAAAAATAATGATGAGTGGAAAAAGAGGAGTTTAGCCGAAAAGGCCGAATTGGAAAGAAAAGTGAAACTTGCCGATCCAGAAATCACAAGGGCACTTGACGCTGTATGTTGTTTTGTTCTAGGCATGAGAAAAAATTATTCCATTTTTGGTTAATGCGATGAATTAATTCGTTGTTGTAAAGAGAGATAGCAAGAAATTCTATCATCTGATCAGTGGAAATCAGTGGGTGAATCTATGCGCGTTTCTCAGGCAACTTACCAACGCGAACGAAGAGATTTTGTGCCAGTATCGCTTCTCACTTTCTGATCCGATTCAGTTTGTATGGGTGAAAATGTTTATTGAAAGTCGAATGGTTCATTGATAAGTACCAATTAAATGCTTATGAATCTCATAATAATGACTGCATTCTTTGGATCATTTCAGGAAACCTTAAAGAAAGCAATTGATGAGGTGCGTACGTTTTATGAACGAAAACTGGAGACAGTAGCGTGTGAGGTGAATGATCTGAAGAAGAAGTTGAGTGATGTCACAAGTGAATATCGATTAAGAACAACGGATAATAATCGGATCAAGTCATCGGATTCATTTGAATTTCGCTCGAATTCCGCACCTCCAGCCACTGAACTGACGAATGGTTGCGCCCTACTGAACTGTTCAAATTCAACCAGCAACAGTAGTTGTAGTGATGTGGCTATCGCTGAAACAATATGATTATCAATATATACGTTGTGCAAGCACTTGATTTTGGTTTTTTTTGGCTGAACGTGGTACGGCAGCGAAGTCGGGGAGACGTTGCGGGTAAGGTAAGTTTTTTGTCGCAATGATCTTCTGCGTAAGAGCTTGCACATATACTCTTCAGTCTTATGTACCTTGCTAACGATACTAGTGCTATTTTGCATGTAATATATTCGCATGTTCTGTATGTGTATAATATGATACGGGCAATTTTGTAAGCTATATTTAATTCTAACTTCTGATATGTTCTGGAAGGATCATTTTTGCATGCGTCCGTGTGTTGTTAGAGTGTTTCGGGAATACTTTGAGGGGATTCTTATCCGCCAATAATATGACCGTGGAAAAATGTGTTGTTGACAGAAATGCTGACTACAATTGTAATTTCACTTTATCGCTGATCGTGAGAGGATGAATGTACATGGATACGTTTCTAATTCAACGAGTATCTTGCATATCTTTCTAATTCGAATACGTTTTGCATTTTTTTAAATCCTTTTTTTTTCACTTTTTCATCACCAACTTTTTTGTGCTTATATTACTATAATATACAATAGAATATTGTTTGAATTCGTTGATTCCATTTAACGAATGAATTCGTTCNTTTTTTTTCCTTTGCATCCAATCAAAACTAAAAATCCAATAAAACTCGAAAAAATGTTCAGCAAAATGTTTACGCGTTATTGTTATTGTTTTGATTTGATATTGTTGTTGATAAAAAAAACTATTGTTTTGATATCGTTTTGAATGTTTTCTGTTTTTTGTTTGCGCAAATTTTCGGTATTTTTGTTGTGAAGATTACGAACTAAGTTAATTTTGCATGTCTTGCAATTATTTATGACGTTACTTATTGTGGATGTTAATTGGCATGTTCAATCATTGAATAAGATTTGTTAAATGTTGATTATGTATGTTCTATGTTTATCAGATTTATATATTTGTACGAGGAATGGAGTTTGATAGATGTTGGTAATCTAAGAAATATTGACAGTTGCTACTGTTAGCTATACTATTAAGAAGTATTCGTTTTGTTGATGAAAAAATAAGTAGTCTTTATCGTTTCCTTTTTAATATTGTGTTACATCGTTTTGTTGTGTATTTTTAAGTGATCGTATTTTAAAAGAGTACTTGATCGTGTACTACATACATACGTGTATTGTAATATATGAAAGCAGATTATGATTTGAAACTAATAATTGACTTCAGTACGTGCATTGGATCGGTGCATATGCTTTTGCTGTATTGACGATATCGTTTGTTTTTCCAACCACATTGTGGCAGACATCGGGTACCTCCATTAGGCTGTTCGGTTGCATGTCGGAAGCTACTTCATGTCGCCTGTTTTATGAAAGAAAGTCTGTTGAAAATTTTGAAATTTACGCTTTTTCTAGGTGCTGGAACAAATCAGACCTACTCGGCGACTTCACCTAGGTCTATCAGCAGGTTTTTTGAGAATTTACCGAGTGGGTCAGTCAGGTTTTTGGAAAGGGGACTTATGCAATGAAAGTGATTTTCAAAGTTCCCCGTTGTGGAGATGAGTTGATATATGTGACCCTATCGAAGGATCATTTGTAGCATGCGACGTCGGTCTCACTTCAAGGCACTGTTGGAGGCGAATTCACATCTTAGGACAGGAAAATAGTGACCTCCAGATTCTTATTTGACAATTCCACCGTTCGTGAACATCTTCTATTGATTGAAAATGTGAAAAAGAAATGAACAAGAGGGTCTGGAAACCAAATGATGTTCGAAGCGGTCGGTGTTCAACAATTTCGTTGCGTTATGGAATGCGGAATTTGTTCTTTGTGCTGAAGTGTGTAACTTTAACTCGAGTGTCGCATTTGAATATGACGCGTTTGAAGTGAATGATAATTGTTGAAAGTTATGATTTGGGAACGAACGGCACAAGCATACAAGCCGACCCAGTGCTATGTTACAATATTAATCATATCCAATGTTTATATTATCAATCGATGAAATAAATTGCTAAAATTGTCAGTGTACTGTTGCTAATCCATTTACCCGGTGACATACAGTCGCTGTGAATGAACACTTTGCTCATTTCCATGATTCAGAAAGAAATTTCATTTAAATACAATGTCGCTAATCATGAGCATTGCCTTCCATGTAATATATATATATTTTTTTTGAAAATTTTACGCCTGGCAAACACTTTACTGACAAAGAATTTCCAAATTCCTGTTCGACTGGTGTCCAGAAATTGATTTTCTAAGCGTCTACTTGGAATACTTTTTTAGATTTTAGATTTGCTATTCATTTTCGGATCTCCATCCATATCTACTACGTAGGTGCCGCAAATTGGGTTCACAAAAAGCTCAGTGTTATCAGGCTTTGACAATTCACATCCGACTGACTGCAACCATTGAGATAACGAATAGTGTTGGAGTGCAAATGAACTGAATGCGAAGTAAAAAGTTCAAAACATTTATTCATTTGTCATAAAATTAGATGGTAAGATTTACTCAGTAGTACATTCACCATCGAAAAAATATCAATAAACTGATGAAAGTATTCTTTTAATAGGAGCGATTCAAAACCAGCACATAAAAACAAAACATAAACCTATCAACGAACGAGATGATCGAACAAACCATAATTGATTATTCAACCGCACAATGTCTTCTATATCAAACACGACAAATTTGCTCTCTTCGAAACAACGGAATAGAACAAACGAACAATAATAAGTAAGAGGAAAATGAAAGATAATTTGAAACAATATATAAAGTCGTGAAAACAATATTCTAGAAGCAATAGCGACAACTGAAGGTAGCATTTTAGCGATGATTTAACACAGATTAGCGCCGTAAGGATTGGTAACCGTTCAAACGACAACGCAAATATTTCTAACAGTCAGCCAAATGAACGCATTTGAATTCGAAAATATTGTCCCCTAATTTCAAGGAAGTTCGAGAGAAAATCTATCTGAGCACTAAAACAAACCAGAAGCAATCTAAATTAACAATCTAAACCAAATTGTTTGTGACGAGAATTTACGGCGTGACAGGATTGCAGTAAAAACAATTCCAGACGTTTTCTGTTGTAAACTAGTACCGTCTTCATATGATCACTGATAAATTCTTGACCAACAGATATTCAGAGCGCATGAATTCTGACGCTTTTAGTGATTGATCTACAATCGCAGTGTTAATCCAAAAATGATCCGGTGAGCCAACCATCTCATGCGCATTCCCTTGTACAACCCAAGCGAAAATAAGCTTGCGACACGTATCACTGTAACCACC